GACTAAAGGTCGTCTGAACAGTTTGGATAAAGGCGCCATGTCGTCGTTCCGGTTGGATGCTTCAGGGTACACTATACTCGGCGGGAAAGTACAGCGGGAAATTGCTTCTTGGATGAGACGCCTTCGCTCGTCTGAGTCCATGATGTAGACGATGACTCCGTCCTTTCAGCTCTCGTGCCTGTTTCCCGCTATCAATGCCTTTTAGATTCTAAAGTGATACTTTTGGAGGAGCGGAGCGGAGGTCGGAGGAGTAACCACTCGGAGCGGAGCTACCGGGGCCTGGCGGCCCCGGTATCTTCGATAAACCCAAGCCCTGAGCACAGGTGATCGAATTAGCAGATGCTGCGCAAGAGATGCCTTAATGCCGGTCAAGTCGCGAAAATGTTTGAATAGAAAACATCGTCGTATTCGACACGGAAAACAACAGGGCCCCTTTTTACTGATATCCTGCAGAAGTGTGATGATTGTCGATATGACAAATATCATTGGTTGCATCTGTGCTTGTAAGCTACAGGAGCTACCGATGCGTACAATTAGGCCTTCTGGCAGCTCTGTTCTGGCACTGACATGGTATCAGCGTGCGGCATATGATACCGGTGTCTTGAGTGTATAATTAATCTGGTTGGGTGTGCTATAATTCTTTTCATAGCTGGTAGTACCAGCTATTAAAAAAATTAGAGGTAATGAAGCGCTGTACCAGGCTGGTACAGCGCTTCATAGCCCCTTATTTCAGTAATTTTCTTATTGTTTAAAGCAAGATCATGCGAGGCTGTACATAGTAACAGTACTGGTAATTTGTGCCCGAAGCACACGATAGCGAAACGTTAGATAAACTATGAGCTAGAATCAACTAAAATGAAGAACTAGATTTAACTTTTGTTTGTACGTAGGGCGTTAAAGGTTGTCTCTGGCTCGATGCGATATGCTTGACGAGTAAACCTGCACTACGACTTGGTCCGCAATAAGAGCATGGTTGCTTAGAAACATGAGTTGATTCGAGCCATAGCAAGATCAGGAGCATTAACTCCGCTATTCTCCGAAAGACTGAGCATTATTAGTATGGGTTGGATCCCTGGCTAATTTTGCACGGGCATTAAAAGTATGAATACAATAGTAATTGTAGAAATATTTATACATGCTAGAATACAGTTGTGTTTAAATGGCTGTGAGAGCGAAAAGAGTGTGGATATGATGAGTTTAGTATAATTATGATGAGGGGTTCGTTAACTGTTGAACGCATTCTCAAGTCACTTAAATTACCGCCACGAAGCGGCGGCACTCGGATAGCTGATACATGCATTGTTGAATTACTGTAGGGAGAAATAGACATAAGTTTGAGTTTCACTCCATTCAAGCCTTGGTAGTAGCTTCCAACGCCTTGTATACACCGTTTAAGGCATTTTCCAACCGCTATTTTAATAACGCCCTCGTAGCTCACACAAGCGGACCGTTCATTCCTACTCGACCACGGCGAGCTCGGTAACTTAGCGCATGCCACACTTGCTTGTTCGACAAATTAAAAGCACCACGCCAACGCCCGTAACAAATTGCGTGTTTTAGTTTTTAGCAGGACCTTTTTGAAAGCTAATTAGCACGCACACACACAGATTATTGCACTGTCAGCATGATGGTCACTACTGGGTCTAGGGAACAGTCATTTCGCATGTACTAAAAAAAAACAAGCGGGGGATGAATCAAGTGTTGAGATTAACGGAATTATTCTTTTATTTTTTCAAATAAAATACTGTTATCCTCTTTTAGACTCAACTGGAGCCCTCCAACGTTCACTTTTGCGGAGTTACTGGCCTTTGAAAGTGGAGTACTTTGCCCTGTACGCATCCGCATATTGGTCGGCCAGCTCATCTAGCCTCGTGCCAGTATAGCCAGCTTTGGGCAACTTTATTTTTCTGACCATACCTGGTGATTTTCCCTTTTTCAGCCAGTGATCCAGTTTTAGGACAACATCCGTCATGGTGGCAGTGGCACCTCTCTCTTCTTTTTCAGCATAGTCGGTAGAGTCGTCGTCAATCCACTTGTTCGATCGCAAAAATCTCTTTGCGCCACTTGCATCGATCGAGTTTGGCTGATGACCTGCTTCAGATACCTTAGATTCTTTAGCACCGACGACATCAGGACTCGAGAGAAAGACAGTAGTAACAGCGAGAAGGAGGAAAGCGAAGCGCATGGTTCGATCTTGGGTTGAGGATCTTGAGAGAAAATTGAGGAGTGAGCTGCCGGATCACCAGCGCATCGATTCACAATTTACAGGACTTGATAGATTTACTATGTGCGATTTGCGCTCGTAACGCTATCCGATGCCAGATACATTACATAAAATACATGATACTGCTGAATACTAGGACGAGGTCCCTTCTATGTGATGGAGTTGCACTTTACGAAGATCCTGGGACACGCCAAATGGTTTAACCACACTGATTATCACCTGGGAGTAATCAGTACAGCGCTACATGTACAAGTGTACGAAGTTGTAGTGTCAATACTGCTCCAGCAGAACAAATAATACTACTACTCCGTTTCAAATTACTTGTCCTCTTCAACTTTTAGCCTGTTTCAAAATGCTTGTCCCTCAATTACACTTATTTTAATTATGGTGTGATGATAATCTATGCAAAGCCGAGACAGTAGAGTCAGAGCACGGAATGCTCAAAGGTAGTCTTCCCTCCTGGCGAAGCTTGTGCAAGCTTGTAGGTGATCTCACCACGTATGCACGACTCCAATGCGCACTGCAGCTCTACGTGGCGGAGGCCAACCTCCTTTATTGCCCCGCGTCGAGGTTTGCCAGCATCCGAGCGGCCAGTATCTCGGAAACGGCCTGCTGGCGCTCTCGTGGTGTCAGTTCTCGTTTTGTGCGCTGGTTAGTCTCAATGGCGGTCAGTGGTTAGTTTCGGAATACTCCAGATATGAACTAGGATGGGCGACGTCTGTGCTGTTTGCCACTATTTTGGCTCGAAATGTTCTCGAGTTGCCACCACGGATCGAATATTGGTTGATAGCTGAAGTTCTGCAAATCGTACCGACTCCAGCTTGTATTTAAGGCCAATCCGAGGTATTCTCGTGTATTATTGACGAATCCCGAGCCAGTCTCGCAAAGTAATATGAAATGGAGTAGTATTCTACTCATTTGATGGCGTATACTTTGTTCAGATCCTCAGATAGATCCGGGTGGCATGGCCACACCGACTAATCCCTAAAGTCAAATCCCGTTTGCGGTCTGCGACATACAGCGCTACATGTACAATTGCACGAAGTAAAACCCCTGTCAAATTTGTCCAACGAAAAAAAAGGAAAAAAAAACTATCGTAAAAGTCGGTTCCAGTGCGACAATGCGGATATAGGCTTCGGTATCTCTGCTACAGGCGACGCCGTGCAAATCTGGACGATAAGAGACTACACCATGGCAGACCAAAGTGAACTGCACCATGTTAGAGTGCCTCAACCAAACGATATCCCAGCGTATTCAAGCCAGTACTGTTCCGGAACTCAGATCCTCAACATTTCTCGATGTGTAGTCGACACGTTTGACGACTCTGGTGCATCAGACTTCTTAGGAGTAATGTGGTCTACAGGTGGGGACTCCACTATGACCCCACACATTCGACTGAGAGATCATTCGTGGACGGAGCGGAGCCAGCGTGGGTGACGACGTGGCTAAAAGACGAGTTCGCAGTGGAAGGATTTGAAGAACTTCTATTGATTCCGGTTATTCTAGTGGTGGTTGCTGCTATGGGGATTGGCTGGTTCTGCTGGAAACGGAGCTCGTTGCTCAAGAGAGAACAGGCTTCTTCTTGCGATTTTGACGTGGTTCTCCAAATTACTTGGATGTCGTTACTCACGAACAAGCTCTTCGACGGACGGTGACGACTACGAGCTACGGTCCGTCCATTTCTAGTCATCCTGATGACTACGAAAGTGCTGGTTCCACCCAAACATTAAAGATATTGCTGCATAGTCAACATCTTCACGGAAATCGAATCCCGTACGACAGTCTGGTTTTCCAGACGGAGTTATCCAAAGGAGCGCCAGGAGAAGTCTGGATCTGCCGCTACGGAGGCCAAGAAGTGGCAGTGAAGAAGTTACTGCATATTAGAGACCAGAAGGCAGAAGACGTGCAGATTTTCGCTGAAGAGATCGAGTTGACGGCCAGTTTAATTCATCCGCATATTGTCAAGTTCATTGGGGTGGCTTGGAATAGTCTCAGCAACTTGTCAATGGTGTTGGAATATGTTCCAAGAGGGAATCTGAGGGACTATTTACATACAAACTCCGACATATTATCGTGGGCGAGAGATCGGATTTTTATGGCCATTGCAGTGGCTGAAGCGCTGGAAAATCTGCACTCTCGAACCCCCGCAATCATCCGTCGGGATCTCAAGTCGAATTACATTCTATTGACAAAAAGTCTTGATCCTAAACTCATCGACTTTGGAGTAAGTCGAGGTATGATGGATCTCACCATGACAGCAGGTGTCGTACTCTATACTGGACGGCACCAGAGAATATGGAGGGGGATCGATACACTGAGAAGGCAGATATCTACTCGTTCGGTATTGTATAGTCAGAGCTTGACACAGGACGGATTCCCCATTTTGACGCAGTGGAAGACGACGGAACCAGATTAGTGCCGTTCCAAATCTTACAGGAAATCATGACTGGTACATTGCGACCGAGCTTCTCCGTGGATTGTCCACCTAGGATACAGATGCTGCGCCGCAGCATGTTTGTCGTTCGAACCTTCGGATCGACCGACGGCTGATCCAGTGGCTTGAAGGAAAATATAGTGAAACATTCTAGTCAACATCTTGTGAATAAAGGGTTAATTTAAAACCTGAAAAGATACCAAATCTCTATGACAATGGAAGGAGGTGGGTTGCTAAGTAGCGCTGATATGGGCGTCAAAAGTCGCTGATCATAAGTCTAAGATCTGGCTGAGACCACACAGTGGACATGGCCGAGCACGACACGATATCTCTGCGGAGTTTGACTTCCATTCCTTCTTCATCCTCCAGCTCGTCGTTCGTTTTCGACGGCACCAATTCCGACATTGCGCGGCAGCTTCTCATCCGTCATCAAGCTGGTGATGTGGCCGAACAAGTCAACCTCACGTCGATTCCTATCGCTGTACTAGATCGACTGATTCCGCTCAATATTGACTTCGATGGTCTTCCTGGTCTTGTCCAACGTACTGTGCTGTGGGATACCGGCTTTGCCATTTCACCCGCTATATGCTGAGCTACTGTATTACTGTAACGGGGTTACACACAAGTGGCTACATGTAGCCACTTGATTACGACAATGGGTTTCACGTTGGTGTGAGATACACCAATGGTTACATTTGACAGACCACTGGTCTGTGTGCATTTAGACTTCCTATTAGTAGAAAGTCGATCTCTTTCAACCAATTAGCTTAGCAGGATTCTGCCAAACCACTCGTTGGCAAACACCTTTCATTTAGAATATCCCTTTAGGAGGAAACCCAAACACAAAACATAAACATAAATAACAGTTCTCAATTTTACGGTAAATCGGCTTTTGCTTTCTTATTTAAGTAAAACTTACGAGACGTAAGTATAGTTAATCTAAGTTTAAGCAAACTACGCTTCCTCATACACGTGCGCTAACGTGTAAGCCAAAGTAGTGGGCACACAGTGAGCCCATTACAATTTGGCTCAAGACAGCCGGCGTAAGACAAACAGGTTACATTCAAGTTGCTCAACCTACGAACACTCCGTCATGTGGTGGTTATCAACGACAGCGTGAGAGATACCGGATCAGGTCACTACCGAACGCCCGCCGGGTCCCAGAAATGACCAAGGCTTCGCTCAGTCCAGGCCGTCCTTATTAGTAATAATAAAACTGACCGGATTAGCATTCAGGAAAACTAAACTGGCAAGTCGCGGTACAAACGCTCGGTGGTGGTTGGAGCGAGTCTTGGGAAGCCTCGGTGACTGTTCGAACGCTCGGCGGATATCTGGTAATGTGCAACGGCCGTCGAAGTGTCTATTGGCACGCTAAAGAATCGATAACTGATCATTATTCACTTGATATTTGTTTACATGATTAGGATTACATATTAGGAAGAGCCCGAAAGGGCACCATAAATAACAGAACAGAATTTCCACTCAAGCACACGAGCGAGGTCCGGCTTCAAGGTAAGCGTCTGAATAAGCTTGTTTGGGTGTGTTATGCAAGTCGGCGGACTCGAAGCTTACTAGGGAGGGTTCATCTGGCAAGGCCAAACATGTGTATTGGCCGATTATATCTGGGGTGTTTACGTGACGACTTTATTGTGCCTAATTGCACGTGTTTGGGGAGAGCGTGTTGCCTCTCATATATTCTTCCAGTCGAGTGTTTAACACTCGGCGCCCTCATAAAAGGCTTACCCGTCCCTGGTGTCCTTCCGCTGTTGGGACCACGAGGATTTGTGGTGAAGCGCTTGAGAAATTTGGAGAATGTGAGACGGATGGAAATGGACCAATCAGCTGCGAGGGGTCGCCTACTTCAAGTGCGCAACC